CATATTCAAAGCGCCGAAAATATTACTTGGAAAGGAAGGAGGGGGGATACTTAACACACACTTCACGCCCTTCCCTGGAATCGAATCTCGCGCCCCTCTATCAACCCGGACTTCTGTGGAGGGTGAGAGAGTACTTGGCTCCTTCCCCCTTCGTTCCCGTCACTTGAGTGATTCGGGTGAAGTTAGTCGAGGGGTTCATGGGGAAGACACGAGTGTGGATCTCGGTCTCTTCAAATACTCATCCGAATCACTTAGATTTTTGGTTCAAGTCCTTACGGAGGAGTTCCCTTTTGATTTCTTATTTGGCGCTCACCGTCTCCCTGGCTTCGCCTCACCTACAGGGGAGGCACGGAGGGTAGTTATCTTACTCATGTCTCCTTTCCTTCTTCCCCTAGGCAGGCAACCAAGGGCATACAAAACCCCTCCCTAGCGTTGTTCTTGGGCTGCCACCAGCACAGTAGCGCCCCGTCTACTCTAGGTTGGCGGTTCGGGTCAGACTGTGTGCGAGGTGGTAGAGTACTTGCCTTGATAAACCAAATACTCTAGCGAAAGTCCGCTGGCGTATCAAACATGAAGTAAATTGCATGCTTTAAATCTCCTCTAGAAACCCTTTCTGCACATGACCTGGGACTTGAACATTTATGCAAAGGGAACAATTGTAAGTCAGAGAAAGAGGGGGGTTTTCCCCTTCGACTTGGTTTGAAGTGGAGTCAATCTGCTTTGGTATTTGCTATGAAGAAAGCTACCTAAGTAGGCCTGATTCGAGGGTTGGAATATTCGTATTGGTTGAGTATACCGACTTATTGAAGGCATGGTAGTACATGAAAAAAAAAACGAACAGGGCTACGTCTATGAAATGGACCAGTCACACTCGTCACTTCATTGAGCAATGGCATTGAGGAAACCAAGGGGGCTGGAGGCTGAAGCCTCTGGGGACATCAGCCTTACGACGGGAGGAACTGCTCTATGAATCCTCGATAGAAAGTCCTCTCTACTCGATTCTTCAACCTATCTTTGGGATATCAGCTTGGTGTAGGGATATGTTTGATTGCTTCCCGAGGGAAGTTGCAGGAAACGGTGGCAATCTTTTTGTATCATGGGATATACTGGTGTCGAAAGCGAGCCGGTGATATCGTACTCATGAGTTGGACATAAGCCTACTCTAGATAACCGTATCAAGGCCCTCGCTTTAGGCGTCTTAAGTGTTGAGAGGCTGGAGGTAAAGGATGGAACGTAGGTCCTTGGTGTAGATGAACATCCGTAACGTACCTGCATAGCGAGCGACGCATCATAGCGAGCGACGCACTCTCTCAAACCTTTCTACCTTATGTATAAGTTAACTTAGCCACAACGTACGAAATCAATTAAAACTATATATCACCCTCTTCCTCATTACTATCCCAAACCACTTCACAGGTTCGTGCGTTATGTCCAGGCTTCCCGCAATTACCACATCGTCGCGCGCGTGGTTCAGCACCTTCCGTACGACCCTCCTTCTGAGGGTTATTCTCTCCTCCAGCATTAACACCACCCTTCTCTACTTGTAGTGCCTCTGCTTCAGCACTATTAAGTGACCCTCCAAGACGTAGCCGGGTCTTTTTTGCCCTCCGGCGCTTACTTAGTACCTCTATCCCCGTACGAAGCTTACGGTTCTCAGCCTCAATAATAGCAAGCCTATGGGCTAACTTGCTAATACCTCTGGCCTGGAAGTCAATTACTTCGTACATTGGTGTTGGTGAGCTACCTTGATGTGCTTGGATCTTCCTTTTAAGGGAGGTAGCACTTCGTACGCCCTCTAGTGCTGTAATTGGTGTCCTTGGGTCCCAGGAGCCTTGGCTGCTTGGCCGTGAGTTTGATGGTGTTGGCGTCTTTGGCTTGAAATCCAAGCGAGAAATAACCACTTCAGGGTTAAAAGGTACAAGGCCTGCCTGCCTAAAACCAGCTCGTACGTTATTTTCGCCCATGGAAGTAAAGAATGCTGCTTTAAAGGCAGGAAAGAAGTCATCCTTTGTAATATGGGAAATCTGTATCCGCATCATCTTCTCGATTTCCTTGCCGTACGAGTACTTTAACGGGCTAAAGCACCCAACATCAAGAGGCTGAAGCTCGTGTGATGAATGGGGAGGCATACAAAGAGCAATAATGTTTTGTTCCTTGCAGTATTCGTCAAAGTCAGTCGATTTATGGCTATTATGGCCATCAAGGATCAAGAGGCGATAAGAGCCCTTCGTACGAGTCCTTGTACACTGATTAAAGTGCTTTAGCCAATCTAGGCCAATATCATTTGTCGTCCATCCATTTTCGCTTGGATGGATACGCCATGTGGCTGGAAATTGGCCATTAATATACCACGAGAGGAGGTGATATTTGCCCTTTACGATGACGTACGGAGGCAGCGCCCAGCCATCCGCACATACACCCTGAATGACAGAAACCCATTCTCGATTGCCAGGCTGTTTCGTACGAGGCCTTCCCTTACGGTCAGAAGTCGTAACAACCTTTGCGTGCGATAGCATTCCCATCAGGAAACCAGTCTCGTCAAAATTATAGATATCGTTATCCTGTATCCCATACTTTGCAATTGTGTTTCGCACAAGTGCAAACCAGCCTTGTATAATCGTAGGATCCTCAGCTAAGGCCCTCTGATAGTCGATTCGACGTTGAAACCGCATTTTCAATTCAGGGACGCGTCGTACGAAGTTCTCTGCCCATCGCGGTCCAGTACGCGTCCCATCGCGTGCGTTTAGGAGTTGGTCGGCCATTTCTCGTACGTCTTCTTGTCGCGGAGGGAACCCTCGATCGATTAGGTCAATAACTCGTTCAAGAATCACCTCCTCTTCTGTTATAGTCATCTTCATCGAATTTGGTCGTGTTTCACCTCGTGCGACGCGTCCAGCGCGTCGGTGGCGGAGGGTTGATTCAGGGACCTCATAGATAGAGGCAGCTCTTCGTATAGACATTTTCGGGTCTTTTTCAATAGCTTGGAGGGCAAGGGTAATTCTACTTTCAATTGAGGAGGATTGCATGTTCGTACGTGGAGAAAAGGTGACCTAAAGATGAAGAGGGTAGAATTGGGAGGACGTGCGTCGCTCGCTATGATGCGTCGCTCGCTATGCAGGTACGTTATATGTTTTTCCACACTACTCTCCTATTTGAATGCTTTGCGAGGTCCTGGCGAGAATTGTTACGTCTTGAAAATCGAAGTGGCGAAAATAACATTTTAAACTCCAAGACGCGAAGTAGGGAGACTCATGCATATCCGATCCCTCACCTATTGGGTTTGATCATATCTCATTGCTCCTCGTTGAATGAATCCTACCCGACGAGATGAGGTAAGACTGGCCGAAGACTGTCAATTCACAAGATCAGATCACAGATGAGGAAAGTCTCCAGCATTTGAATGTGATGGTAGCGAGTATGTCTTTTTCTCCGCCTTGTATGGTACATAGTATACAACATCGATCCTCTTGAACGCCTAATTCCGTGTGTAATAGTATGGTTGTACATCTCGTATGCCCCAGCTGTGCTCAATTCACCACTTCCAGACGGATCATATATCCGTCATCAGCCGAGTCCCCCCTCTGCTGTCGCTTCGGTCGGTTCGGCTGTGGTGATGGTTGCGTCTTTCGCGGTCCTCCCCCCCTTTGTGATTTCTCGGTGGCGTATCCATGGAGCATGCCATTCGCGTAGGTAATCGTGTCCAAGTGGTCGCCCTGATATTTGCAACAAGTTCGATCTCGGACCTTTGTCCTCCCCCGCCGACTGCTTTACTTGCCCTTGGAGTTGGGTATCATCTTGTCGTACATACGGCCGAGGTGGTAGTTGACGGTGGACGAAGGTGCCTTGGGCGCCTTGGGCTTATCCATGCAGCCGCGCAGGGCATTCTCGAGGGCGGCGCAGCCAGAGGTGTTGTAGCCTGCTGAGGCCCAGCATGCTGTAGGAAGAATGAGATGTCAGTCCATGGAGCGTAAGGGGGGTCGATGCTACTGTATAGTTGCCATGAAGTGACCGGGGCAGGCCAGGTCCATTGACGGAAGAAATGGTCCCAGGGAGAGATTGAGGAATCATGGCAGAAAGACTTACCAAGAACTGAAGTCATGACCTGCATGCAAGGCGCCTCGGTCTTGCCGTTGGGGTTACGAACGCGAAGGACCTTGACAGGCGGCAGACGCATCGGTTTCTTCGGCATGATGGGCGATGTGTATGTCTTCCAACCGGTCAATGCTGTCTCTGGCTTGTCTCGTGCAGCTATGCGCCTATCGTTGGATCGTCGGGTTCGGTCGTCGAGTTGGGCGGTGGTGGATCTCTTCGTCCGTCGTCATAGAAAGCTCCCCGATGCTTCAAATGGACGCCATCACGAAAGCTTTGATGCGGAGCCCCCCAGGGAACTTTTTTCGCCAATCACGTGCTCTCAGCCTCGTCCATCCCTTGTAAAATCACTATTTGGTCAAAAACACGGTGTGGCGCCTGGATGGTGGGGTAAGACACGGTAGCGTACAGCCTGGCACCCGTGCACACCGCGCCTGGGATGCCCCCAGAGGACGAGCCGCGACTGCAAGCGGCACTTTGGGTGTGGTGATGGCCTCGGGAGCTCCCGATTGGCTGCCTCGCCTCGAATGTAAACAAAGGGCGAACCTCGAACCGTCCCTTTTTTTGCGGTTGCCCGTTGCCAGCCCACCACACTGATTTTCACTTAATGGTCCCCTTCCTGCGCAATATCTGCCCTTTCCTACTTCCCTTCCCGGTTCTCGATTTAGAAACCTGGAAGTACCTTGAACCTTTTTTTTCTTTCCCCAATCCATCCTCCAATCTCCGCGTTCAGGAACCACAACCCAATCGCGACGCAAGCCGATACCTCACCAAATTCAAGGTACCGTACTCTAACAACTCACGACACAGTCGACATCGCACTACAAGTGTCAATCGGATTCTTTTCAGCCGTTCTCTGGCTGTTCAATCCGGTGGTTGTTCTGCATCCCATCTTCCCCCCCCTGCGCAGTCGCGCTTTGTTTATCCTCTTTTTCCGCCCCCAAATCGCATCGCGCCTCCGCGGCCGCTATTTCCCACTATCACGTCCGAGAGCCTTCTCCGCGCCGCGTCGCATTGAAGCCATAGCTCCCACGCTAGATCCCCCCAAACTCACTTCACCTCGTCATTCGTCAATGTCTCGCAGTCGCCGGCACTTTACGGTCACGCGATGAATGTTCCAAAGTTGACCTTCAACCCGCCCTCGGGCAACTTGACGCCCTCCCCAACCGCGCGCTCCTCCCGCAACCGCGCTCCCAGCCCTAAGAGGGCCTTGGCCGGTTTCTCGAACCTTGAGCTCAATCGGGACCCTACCGCTAATGTCGATATGGCCTTCTCGGATTTCGATTTCACCACGCCAACCAAGGGAGGCACCACGCCCATGTCCGCGGCCACAACACAGCCTCCTAGATTTGCCCCGATGTCTCTTGCTTCGCCGGTTAAGAAGTTCAGCACAGCTGAGACCCCGAGGCTGAAGGCTGGCGCTTCAAGACTTACAACGATGTCGCTGGACGGCCCAACCAAGACCCCATCACCCAAGAAGGTGTCCTTCGCGGATGCCAGTTTCCAATCCCTTACTGCGTCGACTCCAAAGCTCGCTCGCAGTTTCTCACCAAAGTCGAGTCCCTCGAAGCCCGCCGTCTCGGACTTTTCAGTCATGTCGATTACCTCTCCGACAGCATCTCTCGTCTCCAACGACCAGTCTCCGCGCAGTGATTCCGGCTCGAATCAACAGCAAGCAGAGACTCGTGCTGACAGCGAGTCCCCGGCAGAAGAGGAGGAAGGAGACGACGAAGAGAACGACGAGGAGGAGTCACCCTCAAGAGATGCAGAGGAGGCTGGCGGGTTCGAGTCCCCTTCAAAGCTCGACATCACCATGGCCGACATAACGATGATTTCCGACTTCGCCCCGTCGCCCAAGAAGCCTCAATCCTACACCTTCGCCACTACCGAACTTTCGGAAGCAGCGAAGGAGTTCTCGTATGTGTAACCCCTGCCTACATGTAGGCAGCCTCACTGACTTGCTCCTTAGTAACCCTTTCGACCCCGAGACCTACGCCGACCTCGACGTCACCTCAGCCCTTACCCCAGTGCCCAGCTTCGCCCGGCAGCGAGCCCGTATTCCTCGCACAAAGCAACGAAAGGCCAGGGGCCTGGTGTTCGAGAAGGCCATCGCAAGAGAGGTCGCCGAGTCCCTCGCCGTGGAAGAGCTCGAGGCCGCCGCCAATTTCCGGCACATTGCCGTGAAAGGCGGTCTGTTCTACGCTATCTGTCCTCGCAAGAGGCAGAGGGTGGCCGAGCCCACGGCGGAGGACGACTCGGCGCCGTACTGGCTGGAGGATGTGGACGAAAGCGGCGTGATCAACATGATCGAAGCTCGCCGCGTCCTCCGTAACGACCTCAAGGCGCTCCCTGCCGGCCCCTCCGTTCACGACCAGCGCCGCCAATACCACGAGGAGGTGGAGAAGTACGGCGAGCCCATCGCGCCAACCTGTGGGAAGAGAAACTATGATGGTGAGAAGAAGCGGGCCTATAACAACGGCCTGTTGACTCACACCATCATGGCGCCTCTTCTTGCATTCCCGATGCCAGAGCTCAGCTTTGATTGGGTGCTTGAGACTGCCATTCGCGAGTCTAATAGGGTACACGGTCGTGACCAGCCCAAGCATCGCAACGTCAGGCAGCCCATTGCCATCTTTGGAGAGTCCGACTTCTCGGTCATCGAAGAGGAAGAGGAGCCTCAAAGCCCGACCGCCAAGCTCCCTCGCTTCCCTTCGACGGCGACACACCACTCAAGCTCGAGCCGAAAGACCAGGCTTGCTAGAGGCGCTGCCAACCTGGAGGCCAAGCTTGCCACACTCCAATCTGTTGTTGAAGAAAGGTCACCTTCACCTCTGTCGTCCCCGATTGGACCCGGCTTCACCTTCCAAATGCTCCCCGCATCCCTATCGACTCTCGACGTCACCGAGACGAACCAAGAGGCAACTGAGGCCGAACAAGAGGACAAGGCTGCTGTTGTTGAAGTCGCGAGTCCAATGGTGTTCTTTAAGAACCGGAACGACGCTTCACCCTTCAAGAAGCGCAAGTCACTCCCTGCTGCCCGTCGTCTTTCCTTTTCCGCCCCTCTCCGCCGAGCGTCTCTTCCTGCTGCCGGCCCCGCCCAGCTTCCTGTGGTGCTGGATCTTCAAGATCCAGCATCCGCGTCGCTGGTGGGTGCTCCCGATTCGTCGGTTGAGCTCCACGCGGTGCAGAGTCCCCTCGAGGTTGACTCAGCGTCTGCGGCGGCTGCCCAAGCTACCCCAGAGAGAACCCCGTCGCCTTCGCCTGTCGTTGTCGACGCAAGAGAGAATCCGGACATCTTCGGCTCCTTCCAGGACCGCGCCGGATCCCCGATTCAGGCGCTGGCATCTCTCGCTCGCGTGTTTGAGGAGGCAAAGAAGACGGATATGGACGGAAGGGTCGTTGTCAGCAGAGAGGGAGGTCGTCTGATTGTCCGATTTAAGGTTTCGGACGAACACGCTGCTCTCTTCGCCCAAGAGCAAGAGCCCATGGAAGAGTCTGTTGAAGAGCCCGTGGATGCTGTCGATTCCCCCATCGAGCCGGCCACCTCTACCCCGTTGTCACCTATCCGCCCGGCCACTGAAGCAGAGCATGACGGAGAGACAACAGAGGAAGCCAAGGTCGAAGCAGATGAGCAGGCGGCGCAGGTGCCTTCAGAGGCGCCCGCCCCGGCCATGGAAGACGACGATTCCTTGGTCATGCTTAGGGAGTTCATGACGAGGCACGCCGCTAAGAAAGCTGCCAAGGCAGCTGATCCCGAGCCTGTCGAACTCATCGGGCCTGCCGATTCCGCTGTTCTTTCTCCCACTCCGGCCGTTGAACCCGTTGTTGCTCAGTCTTCGCCTGACCCTCTTGCGTCCGCTCCAATCCTCATGGCTGCAACCCCAGAGCGCAATCAAAGCATCTGGCCCGATACACCGGCGTTCTCGATCACGCCATCGGCAGATCGTTCTCGTTCTGCGAGAAGGGCATCTCCAGCCAGCTCAACCGGACGCCAGCCTCTTGGATCGCTCGATGTTAACAGCCCGAGCCCCAAGAAAGCCAAGCGAAAGGCCGAGGCTGTTGACGAAAGAGAGGGATCGCCAGAGAAGCCGCAGCCGCCGAAGCGTCAGCGCAGAGCCAAGGCCGACGTTCCCGATGCGAAGAAGGCCACAGACAAGGCCAACGACAAGTCCGCCGATGAGGATGAGGTTGCTCCTGTGCCGAATGTGCGGACGAGACGCCAGCTTGCCGTCGCGCGTGGAGAGGCTCCAGCAGTTACGAAGATCCCAGTTAGAAACAAGGGAATGAGTAGCATCAGAGCTGGAGAGAAGGATCTTGCGGCTTTGACTCGCCAGAATACTCGCAGCAATAAGGGAGATGCGGTTTCTGCAGAGGAAATGCTCGAGGCGATCAAGACGGCACCGCCCAAAATAGAGACTCGGGCGGCCGCTGCTGCTGCCAAAAAGAACAATAAGAGTGTTCAGTGGGCAGCTCAGTTGGCTAGAAGCCAGTCAGAAGATCCGTCTGCCGCTCCCATCGAGTCTGACGAGGCAAGCTCCAGCTCTGCCGAGCTCAGTCCCGACGAGGAGAAGCAGGTTGGAAAGGCGAGAAAGGCGAAGGCTTCTACGAGCAAGATCGCTACGACTAAGGCTTCAACCGCCAAGGCATCGACTTCCAAGGCTGCGCCTGCCAAGTCTGCTGCGACCAAGACCGCGCCTGCTAAAGCGACTGCAGCCAAGGCAACCAAGGCAAGCCAGTCCAAGTCGGCTACTGCCCCCAAGACGGAGGGTGCTAAGGTCTCGAAGGCGAAGAAGCCCACTGCTGCAGCGAAGAAGGAGCTGGGTCTGAGTGCCAACGGTACTCCTGCCAAGCGTAGCGCTCGCACGGCGAAGAAGTGAAGGTGCCACGAGTGAGGATACCTGGCATGATTGTTGGAAGGAAGGACGTTGTGAAGGATGGAGGAATGGCATCGAACCGGGGGAAGGAACGGACCGCATTCGCATCGCATGGCGGACTTAAAAAAAAAGCAAAAGCATAGCTATGGGCGTTTTGGATCGTTTTGGATCGTTTTGATATTTACTATTTTGCTGGTCTCTTTTTGACCTGCTTGTTTGCATCATGGCCGCCCGGCGAGGCGAGTGTTTAGATTCTTGTTCGACTCTTGTTCTATACCCCATTGCTTCGTTGCGGACAGAGGCGGATGGGACTTTTTATCATTATGAATGACGATAACGAACTTGAAATATCTCGAGAATCACACGTGTTCTGGACGTCTGTGATGCGCATGGCGCCTTTTTCTTATGTGTTGTGTGATATTAATCAGTACCTTCGATACAGATTCAACATGCGATCGCAAACGGTCGCCCAGCCTCGCATCCTCAGAACGTGGTTTCTGGTCTGCGATACCGTCGACCGGGAACTCGGATCAGGGCCCAAACGGGTCAAGATCCCTATTTACCGTGCAGGGGAAAAAGAGGGGTATCAACGCAGGCCATGCATGGCAATGCCGGTTCCAAGTTCCATTGGACTGGATTCTACGCATCTCTCTGGGTTACCTCGGCGGATGCCCTGTAACTTGATGTGAGCGGTGGGAAAACGGGATGCGGACTATTACCTAGCGAATCCTGTGAGAGGACGTCTGATTGTTCTGCATCCGGGCGTCTTGTCTGCGTCCTTATTAGGCTTGTCGTACCTGTCGTTTGGTCCAAGTACGGTCAAGGTTCCCTACTGTAAGATGAACCCCTCAGCAAGCCACACATTGGCAGAGACATGGAAGGGTGGTGTACTCCGTAGTGGTGTGGGAAGGGAACCTGGAAACGGGCAGATACAAAAACTGGAGCTCCCCTCCCAAGCAGATGAAGCCCGGTCTTTTGGTTGATTGACCTTGCGCGGTATTGATTCATCTGCCCTCCTTAAGATCGCGATTTCTCAAGACACGCTAGGTCACAGCGACCGCGCGACTCAGTACCTTTAAGTTCAACCCAACGTTGTGCCAAACGTTGCTTACACTCACTTGGAATTCCCGTGAGACGGAAAAGGCGCACATCATGGCTGAAGCACCGGGCACACCGCCCACTACGGCCGCACCTGCAGCTGGTGTCTCGTCCCCCGACCCGGCTCCGACGACGAGTTCATCGCGAGCCGTCCCCGCGGTGGCGATTGATCCCGCCCAGCAGGATGATCCGGTTGAAGCTGACGAGGGGTTTGCTGTGCGTTGCAGCTCAGTTTGCCTTGAGATTGAGCTATCGTTGACTAATGTTTTCGGTGTAGAGTGATAACGATTCATCGATTGATGATAGAATGTAATGGCTCTCTAAGATTCTCGTCACTCCATTTCATCTATAGCACCTTCTTTAACACGAGTGAGTGAGGTAGCTCGAGTTATACCGCATCCCTATCATCCAGCGTCATCGACTACCCGGAAGAGTATGGCCGTCGTTACCATGCATTCAGGCCGGGCTGTGAGTCTCCTCTTGCTTCAGCATCACAACGACAATGATCAACGACCGCTCTCAGCCTACTGACGTGTGCATATAGCGTACTCGTTTCCAAACGACGAGGTCGAGATGGAGCGTCTCGACATGGCCCACGCCATGATGGTGAGGGCGATTGGAAGCAAGCTCTGGCTGGCGCCGCTGGCCAAGGACAAGGTCCATCGCATCTTGGATATTGGCACAGGCACTGGTATCTGTACGTCTCCGCAAGTCCAAAAGATCTCGAAAGCGATGCATTACTAATTGTTTGTGGTTGGTAGGGGCTGTTGAGATTGGTGACATTTTCGAGAACGCCGAGGTGAGTTGGTGATGAGCGAGATTGGTGATAGTTTGCTTTGCTAAGTGATGGGCAGGTAATCGGCAACGATTTGAGTGCGATTCAACCGGAGTGGTGCGTCAAGTCCCAACATGAAACCCTCTCTGGCGATCTTCAAAGCTCACTCTTCTTCTTTGAATTACAGGGTGCCCCCAAATGTCAAATTCGAGATTGACGATGTCGAGAGCGAGTGGGTTGGCGTCAAGAAGTACGACTTCATCATGTGCCGATACATGGCCGCCTCCATCCAAGACTGGCCGAAGCTGATTGCCAACATTTACGAGTACGTCCACCTCTCCTACCTGTCTCCCATCCGGTCTTATTTCTCACACCTCACCCCCTCCTCTACAGCAACCTCAACCCAGGAGGCTGGGCCGAGTTCCAAGACATGAGCACAGAATACTACTCCGACGACGGAAGCTACACCCCCCAACACGCAACCTACGAATGGAACCAGACCTTTGTCGAAACCCTCGACAAAATCGGGCGCGACCCGCGTCCCGGACCGAAGCTCGAGGGGTGGGTGCGCGGGCACGGCGGGTTCGAGCACGTGGCGCACCACAAGTTCAAGACGCCTATTGGACCCTGGGCGCGGCACCGGCACTTCAAGGACCAGGGGTTGCTGAATCTGGCGCAGATTCTTGAGGGACTGGAAGGGTTTTCGTTGAAGTTGTTGTGTGGTGTGCTGGGGAGGAGTAAGGAGGAGGTGTTGGTGCAGCTTGCGGAGGTGAGGAGGGAGTTGAAGACGGGGGCGTTTCATGCGCTGTTGGATTTGTGAGTGTTCCTTCCCCCGATGCCCTTCATTCCGTTGTCCAAGGTCAACGATGATTTTGAGTATTATCTCTGGGAACTAACTGGTTTCGTACGCGTAGGCATGTGGTGTATGGACAGAAGCCTGCTCTACCGGCTGCAATGGAGGCGACTGAATGAACGTGAAGGCGTGTCTTTTCGGATCTTGGAATGTGCAGCATTTCTAATTACTTTAACATCATGTTGGTCTATGAAGTAGCCTTTCTTTTTGAGGGCTCATAGCATAGCGATGTAGCATCGTAATGCAAAGGCTTGAACTCTACGGAAATGAAGTTGTGCTAGTCCTGGCGGGGTCAAGCGTGTGATGGTCATTTCACGTGTCACTCACTCATTCCCCTCACTTGAGTTCATCTCACTCAGATCCCTCACATCTCCAAGTGATCATCGGCTGAGTGAGTGAGAGTGACGGTAAGAGATCGCACAGCCTTCAGCCCTATGAGATGAACGGGTGGTCCCGAGTGCCAAGTTCGGACGACGCAAGGCGACCAAACGTGGAGACAAACAAAACAGGAGAATGGAACCTCAAGGGAAGCGAACAGAAAAAGCCCAGAAAAATACCCGCCGCCTGCGTTCCGATCTGCCGAAACAAATGGGCAAGAAGCCAATCTGACGTGCAGTCGCACCTGCAGCCCAAGAAATCACATTACGAATCGCCCGTCACACGGCGCGCACCTTCCTTTAGCTTGGGCTGCCTCACCACGCTCATTTAGGTTGATCCCGTCGGGTGGCCCTACTTTCCTTACCTCAGCCAATTTTTTTTTCTTTTCTTTTTTTGCCCCTACCTACCAACAGCCCAACTCACCTTGCCTGACCTTACCTTGGTCACTTGACCCCGCGACGACCACGTCAAATCCCCCGCCAACCACGTGCAATTCTATCCCATCCTTCCAACTTCCAACTGTCACTACCGAAAAGAAAGAAAAGAAGGACACAGCCCCGAGAGAACGAAGATGTCGTTCTTCGGCAACTTCGACGTCGCGAAGCTGGCATCACAGCTGGGCAACTTCAAGATCCCCGACGACCCAGAGATCATCAAACAAGGTGAGTGAGCGAAATGTGATGTTCTGCGACAACTCCCGCCGCAATTCTGCCCTTCACCATGTCGCAAGACCCCCACCCACCTTATCTCAAAAGCATCGCATCACCAAATCCTAACGACACATCACAGGCCACCAGGACTATGGATACAGCAACTACGGTTCCCACGGCTCAGGCTATGACGGCAGACCGCCGGCGGGTTACGCCGGCGGTCCGCAGAACGGCGCCGACGAGTACAAGCGCGAGCACCCCGCCGCCTTCGGCTCCAGCGACCCCACGCGCTCCGCCTATTCTGATCCCGTCTCCGAGGGGAGTGCCATGTCGTCCGTCGCCGCTGGCGTAGCTGCCAGCGCCGCCGGGGGTGCTTACGGTTCCGCACCGCAGTATCCCTCTCCGCATCCCGGTAGGTATGGTGATTCCACATCATCTAGCCCGTATCCCCAGCCGCAGCAGCAGCAACAAAGCTACGGACGACCTCCCTCGCCGGGTTATGGAAGGCCCCCTTCACCTGGTTACGGAAGACCTCCCTCGCCGCGGCTGCCTGAGGGATGGGTCAAGCGATTTGACGACAACAGCAGACGGTGGTACTACATCAACCAAGCAACTGGCGCTTCTCAGTGGGAGGCGCCTGCGCCACCGCCGGCCATGTCTCCTCCGCCAATGTCACCACTGGGCCATGGAGGGTATGGAGATGCTTCTCGGTATGGCGGACATTCGCCTCAGCCTGGCTATGCTCCTCAACCTGGCTATGGAGGCCACTCACCACAGTCCGGCTACGGAGGTCCACCACCCCAACCGGGGTACGGCGGACCTTCTCCCCAACCCAGTTACGGGGGTCAGTCCCCACAGCCCGGATACGGAGCCTATGCGGGCGGTGCGGCTGCGGCAGCTGCAGGAGCTGGAGCCGGGTACTACGCCGGACAGCAATACGGGCAGGGTCAACCCCATGGGTACGACCAGCCTCAACAGTACGGCCAACCCCAGCAACCCGAGCAGTACGGTCAGCCCTATGGTCAACAGCCTCAACAGCAGTACGGACAGCAGTACGAACAGGGATACGGCAGTGAAGAGAAGAAGAAAAAGAAGAAGAGCGGCAACGGCAACATGTTCCTCGGCGTGGCCGGTGGTCTCGCGGTGGGTGCGCTGGGAGGCGCGCTTATCGCCAATGCTCTAGGTAACGATCACTCATCCTCTCCGGGTTTCGCTCCGGAAGATTATTGAACGCCAAAACTGACAATTTCCGCAGATTCCGACTCAGACTCTGAGCACCACGAGCATCACTACGAGCGCCATTCATCATCTGGGTCTGAGGACCATTATCGCGGCCGAGATGATGGTGATCGGGAGTCTGATAGGGAGGAGTATGGCGGCGACTACTACGATGATTAGGTTGATCGAATACCGCCGTCTGGGCCCGAGTATGGCCCCCCGGTTATCTGGGTTGATGAAAATGGTCAGGTCTACGAGGGAGAGAGAGACGTGCAGGGGGTCCAGGGGCAGCCTCAGGAGCCTCCGGAGGATTATTGGGAGTATGGCGACGAGGACAATGTCGTGTACACCGGATATGGTGAAGTTGTCTACGATGACGAGCAGGGTGCTGACGAGGCTCGCAACGACGATGACTATGCTGGCGGCACCTTTGATGACAGCCACGGCGACGATGAATACGACGATGGTGGCTATTATGACGATGGCCATGGCGGCGATGATTATGCTGATGACTACTATAATGATTAGGTTGGTCGAGTATGGACTTTTACTGGGGTTTGTCTTCCATCTAGAAGAATCATGTGGCGTTTCGCTGCTGAACAAATATTTTACGAATTCTAGGCCTTAGCGGATAGCACGAGGAGAGGTTCTTGCATCTCACTATGTGTACACGTCTAGACCGTGAAGTTTATACGGTAATCGGCTTGGTCGGGTAAAATTATTTGATCTTCGGATTCATGAAAGCCAAGAGATAGAAGGGAGAGACTGACAGACAGCTTGGCGATATGTGACTACAAGTCCACATTTGGATAGAAACCGGCGTAGTCCGTAATTCCTGGTTCGTGGGCACGTTCATTTCACTGCCGGCCTGGCTGGGATGTGAATGGCGCACGTTCTCCAAGATGGCCTGGGCCCTGGCATGCACGTCTCGTAAGGATCACGGGCCATAGGATAGCCCTTTTCTCCATTCTTCGTAGGCTGTAGCGTCCTGAGGCCTGGGCAGTAAGAAAGAATATCGGCAACCAGTCTCCGGCGGAGCATCCGTAGTAGAATCTGCGGAGAAAGACCTGCGGAGCATTATAAGCCCACTGGAGGATGAATCCGAGCCGTCAATTGAGAGTATTAGTACGTCAAAAGACTCCGTAAACGACGGGACAATGCTCGCAGAGTCTCGTGCTGCGCGCTCTTTACAAATCATGTCCAACTGATAGGGGGCGGGCGCCCTAAGCCGTGCGTCCCGTGGAATTGGATCGGACGGCACTTGTAAGGAGTTACAGGGATATGTTGCCTACCTTATGTTTATTGGGTAATACTCGCCCCGTCTGAGAGGAGTTGAGCTGGGATGAACTTGTCAATTAGAGTTTGGATATCATGTTGTTACGCGCCTCTCCAAGCCTCGTTGCGCGCGACTCAGTAGCGGAATTTCCCGTTGGTATTGGTTTCGGGTACACAGCTTGTCCGCTGTTGAAGATCGTCATTGAGTAATTATTAATACTTATAGCTGGTCTTTCTCTCTTTGTGTGCGCCTGTTTGTATGAGGATTTCTCAAGTGTTGTTATTCTCTACTTCGCATCGTATCTCCTGCCGCAAAATACTCTTCCAGCGAACAATTCTTGTACATAACCATCTACAGTAACCATGAAGTTCCACGCCGCTCTTTTCGTCAGCTTCCTCCCCTCGGTACTGGGTCGGTGGGTATGTTTACGCTCCTCTTGGAGTTTGATCACTTTGGCGCGACATGATAGCTGATGAATGTGAATAGAACTGCAGACTTCCGGTTGGAGGTGACCTCGGCACTTGTCTTTGGGATGGTAACACAAAGTCCGTTCTGAGTTGTGGCCAGGTACAGTCCATTCTTTCACTTTTCGATATGACTATCGCCGTCCTTGAATAATTGAAACGGGTTGCTAACTTGTTGCAATAATAGGACCATCCGTGTAAGACACTTGGCAATGGATGTATTCCTATTGGGTCGGGACTTGCGAACTGCTCGTAGACAAATACGTTAATCACAACTTGCGATTACGGAACGAAAGCTATAAGTTGTTCGAGGCGTTCCTGAATGATGGTCGAAGGCTATTTCGACGACATCTTGGAAAGGGATCTGTTGGTATCCCTATCACAAGGTATTGGTTCGAACCGTAGGGTTCGGGGGGTGACGAAGTATCAATATCTCTGTATTGGTTGATTCTGCGTAAGGAGTAGAAGGGAGATTTCAACCGGAGGTTGGGTGGACCGTCGAGATGTAATTGTACCTGTTGGTTCACGGGGTCGTATACGACAAATAGTGGTAGCAATTATCACTCGTCTGTTGGTGATCCTATTGCTTGTTCTTCTTGTTGTTCTATCTTACATTGTAGGCAGGAGTCGGTCGAAGTAGGTAGTGACGGCCTGGGTGGTTGCCCCACCTTTATCCGGCGGTGATGACTACGCCAGTTGTCCCACTTCGCCCAGGGCAGGTGCCAGCCAGCCCATGGTACCTGCCTATTACTCCTTATCAGCCTTTGCTGTTCCAACAGTACCCTCTCGAGGTGGCCCCTGCTCTACCCTTACTCGCGGTCGAATTGGGCTTCCAATCCGACAGGATCCTCTTCCAAGTTCCCACTAGACACAGAGAAATAACTCTGAAATAACTCTGAAAGATAAATAAGTACTCATAACAAGACATTAGTTGCAAAAATACAGCGGCATCAATGAACGTCCACATTGCGCATTCTTTTGGCATCAATCCACCATATCATGTAGCATTATATCTGCGAGTCTGAGTCTATTTCAGGCTGAACGAAAACTCTCTGCACGGATAGGACGACTATTAGTCAGGCCCTTTGAATGGGGGAGTTGGAAATTTAACACTGCGAGCCTAGCGGCAGAAATACACAGTCCCAAGAATTGCCGGAGCCAAGTGTTCATTGGGGACATCGTGCATCGGACAGCTTCCACGGCAGCGAGTTGACATAGGACGAATGCATCAAGCTGTAGCTCAATTCAAAAACGCCAACTAGGAGTACAGACGGCAGCGGCTGAGCCACACCACACGAGGTATCCCAGGTCCAATATTGGTTGCAAGCAGCTGTCACGCCGCAACGCCAGTGGTAGAAGAGGGTGTGCTCGAAATTACGAGCGAAGCAGACAAGCGCTGCAGATTTTGGTAGAAACTTGAAGTCTTGGATAGAAGCACAGCTGACATAACATCGGGATTATTCCCCATCTGTCGCAGCGCCACGTGTGGCGCTGCCGATTACTGCCGTATGATACCGCTTTCTACAAGCCGACTACCCGTCTCGTACGGTATATCCCATCGGGTGCGGATGGACGCCATTTTCGCCAAGGGCGGTGTAGAGCCAATAAGGGCCTGGAAACCCTTTAAGTTAACCAATAGATCTCTAGTACCTCCAATCTCTATAGATTTTGGGTGTGCCAGAGGTACCAGCAATCTCTATCAATACATAACGGTACATTACAGTCTAAGCAGCCCTTTCGTGTTGTCCTTCGAGTGGCCGGCACGTTAAAGGGCCGGAAGGAGCCCGGAAGACCATGCTCGGTAGCCGGAGGTTCGCAGGGCCGGACTGTTGCTGCGTCACAGCGCTCGGGCGTACAGTCTGTATTGCAGGCAGCAGTAAGGTCTTCTGGAAGGACCTCAACTACTATACAGCTGCGTACAGAAGTAATAGAAGCATCAGAATCAGAATCGTTAGAAGACATTACAGCATCAATCAAATTGGTAGTAATAGTGGTGATAATAGGTAACAGAGCATAGGGATAAATGACGTACCATCAAAGTACCCCTTTAAATGCGCGGTAATAGTGGATAAGTAGTGGGTATTTTGGGGCTTGGCGAAAATGGTGTCCATCCGCACCCGATGGGTTATAGACTATACTTTCCCACTATATCATAGAATAATCATTAACACAATTGATTCTCTGATTATCCTAACTCGTATCTCAACTTATTTACCTTTTTTCTTTTTGCCTACTGTTACGAGCAGGTCAAGGCAACCAACTGTGGCACAAAGCAGAAGCTTCGATAATGATGACTCCGGTCATCATTGTCCCTTGTTCTGCATATATAGCTACGCGCCCACAGTGACAAGTTGCGGCGGGCGTAACAACATAATATAAGGGCGTATTAATAACGAGTTTATTATATATCTAGGCTTCCTAAATACTATACTCGTCTTTACTATTTATAAACTTAGCTAGGTCCGGGAATAGTTTTCTATATAGTAAGGGGATATCTTAGTCCTACTTGGGGCTTGCGGCCTTTTTACTACTAATATACTCCTTACTCGCTTTAGTAGGCGGGGTACTAGGTTAGGCAGAGCACTATTAAAATAAATATAAGATATTAACTAAGCTCTTATATTCTAGCTTCTTTTCTATAGCATCCGCTCCATACTTACTTCTTTATTACTTTTACTCTACCTATTATCTTTTCTTTATAGCCGCTTATCTCTTAGCTAATTATTATAGGCCTATAGCGACTATCTTTATATTTTAAAGCTTATCTATTAATTTAGTTACGTTATTAATTGATATAACTATCTTTATTATACTATATAATTGGTAATAGAGCGGATTATTATAGAGAACTTAGATATATTAAGAACCTAGCCCTTATATAGCCATATAGAGGTAATTTCTATTTTTAGAATCTAAGCTAACGAGAAGAGATTTATAAGCGGAGCTTCCCCAGAGGTGGAGCGTAGGCGTAATAGAGCCCGCGCGGTCAATCGTGGCAGAATATCCGGGCGCTGGCCCGGATCCACTAATCGGGTCCAGCCCGTAACAGTGATAGAGGAATTTGACACATCTCTCAGATCCCAAGCGCTTTGAATTGGTATTTCTCCAGCCCAAACTTTGGAGGAGACTGTAGTGCCCGGAAACCTGGCGCCTTCTTCACTGAGAGCAAGTCAGCGAAACTCATAACCTGAGTGGGTGGAAGCTGATATTGCGTACTTTGTCCAGTTGATAACTCCAATATCGAAGTTACAGTGATAGCCATTCTCTTTCATCGTTCTTAATGCTTCGATACCGGCAACGACGCCTAGTATACCATCATATCTACCGTCTTGGGGTTGGGTATCTAAGTGGCTGCCCATTGCAGTCATGGGTAGAGTCGAGCCTAGCGATTCTCTTTGCCTAGCAAAAATGTTGCCCATCTAATCAACTTTGACATCGCAGCCTAGTCTTTGTGTCTCTTCCACAAACCATTGTCTCGCCGCGGCATCTTCATCTGAGAGAGTCAGCCGGGCCATGCCAGTTTCAGTCAGAGCTCTGGTGAATTGTCAGCAACTTGAGAAGCTCTTTCGGGAAGAAGCGATGCTGACCTGCCATATCGATGAGCTGCCCCTCATTGGCACGTAAGGTGGATCGTTTCTTGAAGACGATCGGAGTTGATTTTGAGACCTGACAAGCCTTGAGAAAAGGTTGACGACCGGCGCACGAAACGGATTGACTGAAGCGCTGACGGTCTTCTTGGAAACATTTTGTCAGATGACTTGGCATTTAGCTTTATCATTCGTTCTATTTTGTAAACGAAAGATGCCATTTCGAGGTTGACCGACGAGTATTGGGCTGCCACTCGGGTAAAAGCCGTTATCTCGGAAGCAGTGCCGACAATCTGAATGAGGGGTAGGTATCATGACCCCTGGTAGTGGATTTCGGTGACAGCTTCACCGATACAATGTCAGACATTGAGCAATGTCCAAATTCGCAGAGCTTTCGAGCTCATCTTTCCAATTCTTCGAAAAAATCAGCCTGCCTTGCCGACGTAATAATTATTGGTGGCCCAAGAAATATGGAAGCTCCTATCTTTTGGAAAGCGTGAGTTACTCCGAGGTCTGACATGCACTGTCAAACCACATCTTGATAGAAGGTACGTATTGATGGATAATACCTTTTACAGATCTTACAGTTGATGGATCTGTATTTGTGTAGTTGCGAGGGCAGAAATGTTGTACGAAATATTACGTGCACGCGTGCACTTTCATATTTAAATCAAGTAGCCGGGTGTTTGCCTCTATCTTTGCATGTGCTTGAGGCCTTCCTAGTGGACGAACAAGTGCTTTTCGGCTTTGGAAAGTCACAACGAAGTTGATTTTTTTTCTGTTCCTTTGCATTAATATAAGATACGTTGTAGACCAATTCTTCCTTTTCACTACACGTAAATATTGATCTACCTCTAGCTTCAATTAGGCCTCCGAACAGCCCCTCTTGATGGAATATCTTGAACAGACGGACAACAAAATCAAGCCAATTGAGTCAGGTGGGTGACCAAGGGCAGTTGGCCAGATTTTCTCTCCTTGGCTCAACGCGTCAAAAAATCAAAAGATGAACTCATCCGCGGGATGCATCCGCCGGTAATCGAAACCGGGTCCCTTGCTAATCCGATTTGGAATGGAAGGCAAGGATGATAACCACTACACTACAGATGCGGATGTGATGATACTCCACCAACAACTTTTGGCACTTATGTACCAAGTCGTGTCCCGGCAACCGCTGAAATGCATCTCACGAGCGGCTATATGCAGCAGTTGCAAGTTTGTCTCGTTGTTGTTTACGAGACTGTCAATTATAGCACCGAATCGCATCAAAATGGACGCGTTTTTACCTGTTCGTCCAGTTTTCACTCCCAAGTGCGCTCTTTGCCGATGTACCTGCATGAAAGGTTAGTGACCTATAAGTCATCGTTAGGCCATCTTAGCACGAAACTGAAGAAATGGTCTTGGAGTTTTCTCAGTCGGGGAATGAAATACTAGATGATAGTGCTCGACGATTCTGCTTACGGAGGATCCTTGGCGCTTAGGCAGACTTGACCATAGCCTCTGGTTGTTGTTGATCGCTTACCACAGCCTAACATCCCTCCGAAACTTAACCCCATCACAACTTACGACAACGACCGTTAGTACGAAGGCACTCAAGTTGGCGCATCAGAACAAGCCAGTACCTGCAACATGGGCCTGACGGATACGCCTCCCCCTCATGTTCCCTCATGGGTCGTGCCAGCTTCCGGCGCCCTTCTCATCACAGGCGCCATCTTCTGGGATATGTGCAATGTCCTCATGTCCATCCGCTCTCACAGAACGAAGTCATATGGCATGCCCCTCTTCGCTCTCGCCCTGAATCTCTCCTGGGAACTCATATACGCGGCCCGCGTCGCCGAACACCCTCTCGAACGTCTCGGCTTCCTCGTCTGGCTCCTCCTCGACGTACCGCTCGTCTACACGACTCTGAAGAACGCGAAATATGAGTGGCGCCACGCGCCGCTTGTCGCGCAGAACATTGGCGCTATACTTGCGGTCATGGTCGCCCTTGGAGCCGCGGCGAACTACGCCGTCGCGGACTGGTGGCTTTCGGCGTCCGGTACCGGATTCGGAGACAAGAGAGCAAGTGGTGGGCCGGACGGGAGGGGTTCGACTGTACGGAGCTCGCGTTCTGGACGGCCGGTCTGGCGCAGTTCGCCGTTGGGACTGGGTGTCTTGCCATGTTGCTCGTCAGGGGCCACTCTGGGGGCACAAGTTATGCGATCTGGTGAGTGTTTTCCGGCTGTCTCCTTCGCGTTCTTTGCCGCATCCGATCGGTGAGCGGATTGCTTTCCCCCGCCGGATGAGAGAACATCCAAAAGTGATAAGGGTAACCGGCGTGTTGGGTCACGACACCTCACTGTGCCGTGTTTGCGCCCTCTTCCCTGTCATCGGTGTGCGATATTCTCACACCCGTTTCCTCTCATCGCTGTCCGCCCTCAAAACGTGTCATCTTGAAGCGTATTGATGCCACTCAAACGAGCTTATCCGTAGGTCATGGGTTCGAATGCTGTGCCGTTGGAGTTCCTCTGATGTGTGGGGTCTCTTCCCCGGTTCTCGTCGTCGTCGCCCTTCTCATTCTGTCGTGTTGGGGCGGTCATGTTTGCTCCGTCAGGACAAGCACCCGCTGCATCAGAGGGGGTTTCGGGTCATATGAGCAGATATCTTATGCTGATCCTTTGTTCGACAGGTTCTGCAGGGCACTTGGCACCCTCACCGGCTGGATTGGATCAACCGGTCTGCTTTGGTGGTACTGGCCAGAGCCCCATGGTTTCTTCGTCAACCCCATGGGCATCTTCCTCATGACGACCTGTTTGGCTTGCGACATTGCGTACCCGTTCATTCTCGCCGTAGTGCGGAGAAGTGAGCAGGTCCTCTCGGACGGCAGGCTTGTTTCTGGAATATCGGTCAAGCAGTCAGCCGCGCCAATAATGAAGAAAAGGCTATGATTTCGGGAATAACATGGAGGAGCACGATACTCGTCGATGAAGAGTTCTTGGCCCGGGTTTCCGGCAAGTAGCGTCACTTATTCATCGGCTGCCACTCTGCTAGACTTGGGCCCTTGAATGAGATAACGATAGAACTTTGGTAGAACCGTAGAAATCTGAAGATGGCCTGGTGATATTCGAGACCCCTACCGACCGAGGTAGCGTCGGCCGCCGAGACTCCAGACGCCCGTTATCTGTCACCGATGTGGATCTACTGGCCGGCTTGAAAACCTCGAGGAGTACCAACAACATCGTGTGTGCCACGCAACGCGAGACCCAGGGTCCTGGAAATTGGCTCAACCACGATTGGAGGAAACCAAAATATGACGGCTTGGCCGTGAGGAGAAAGGTGAGGAGGCTGCGGAAACTGTGGGATTTAAGCAGGGATCTTTGCGTTTTGGTGGCTGTATAATAATAAATCTAATTGTTGGTTGTTGGTTGGCGGCACTGACATGAGATGAGCGGGACGATAGCCGTATTAAGACGATGACCGCAGCGGAACGAGGTAACATCGGGGAGTCGGCCAAAGGGCCGAACCTTTTCATAAGCAGACAGGAACTCGCGAGATTCCCTCAATTTCATGTGTCTCCTGATCGCCAACGATTCCCGTCTCCCCTCGATCGTATCAGCATCGTGATCTCGTCGGAGTATTAGTTAGAACATGCATCGAGTTACCCAGCAAGCTACCTTGCAGGCATGTGCAGGCATGTATCCACATCTAAGAGACCATGACGGTGTGTTCATACGATGAATGCAGCAACCTGAATTGCAGAGTTGTCAAGCCTGCAGGAGGACTAGAGCATCATAGACAGCCTTGCAGCGAACCATCCGCGAAGCACTCCTATCACATTGCACAAGCTAGCTATCATAAAACGCATCGAATCAAGTGGTTTTTGTGGCACAGTTATGCAAGGATCTTCCGGACTTCTGTCGTCCTGCTCGTCTACACAGCCAACAGGACACCACGCAACTAAGTATCACGACAGTATTCAATGCCAAGTGGCCGAGGAGCAAGCGCCCAATGAGCCAATCTCATGATGCCATTTCCGCCGGCATGCGGTTGATATCTGGGGATGATACGTTGGATTGGTTTGCATATGTTGTATACGTATCTATTTGTATCTTGTCAGCTTCGAATAAATTTCCATTCTCACGACTTCGTGTACTTTGCTGGCCTGAAGCCGGGGACATAGCCTAAAAGGTAGGGGTGTTGGAATAGAAATTGTCAACCGAGCCGAGTTTGCAGTTCTCAAATATCACCGGGCGGCAATCCCAGTCAAAGAGGAGAGGAATCCGCCTCCCCGATCTCACTGATAAAGGCATCCCAGATGTTCGAACGGCCTCAGCGAGGAAGTGGAGCCAGCTCAATGTTGTATAGGTTGACCGAAGTGGAATGAACTAAATCTACGGATTCCCCGTTGGTGGGAAGCTGTAGCTGCATACTAAGCCACGTGGGAAAGGGCGTCGGAACGACGTTGGTCTCGCTCTTCCGAGAAGTTGTCTTCTTTGCACTATTTCTGCATCCCCGATGCCGTTGGCGGAGCGGGATGTGGTTCCATTTCGGCCCCAGGTTCCAGGGCTTGGATGCGCCGGCCGGTCCGGCACGCCGTCCGGGCAAAGCTTACTTTTCGGCTACGAGGCAGGCTGCAAGTTTGGAGTTTCATGGGAATCCTAGTCTGGAGAAACGGTAACAGGACTCCATTGCAGCTACGGACCCATGTACTGAAAGCACTGGTTGCTGACTCCGAGCTGTCGGCCCTTTTCCATGAGGCAGGAGTAATCGAAGTCGGCGAGAGTGAGGTAGAACCTGAATACCTAATAGGTATACCATATACCCTTGTCCATTCTTCCTGAGCACTGTGTAAGATCAAGACACTTGGGTTGTACGGATACTTTGCAAGTACGAGTACTTGCGTTTGTAGCCAATGGCCCCCTTCCAGCATATCTGTACGTATGTGTCAAAGGTAGGAGCAGTCTGGCAGGGCTGGAAGACCCAGTACGGCCCTTTTCTCCCTTCAATCTGGGAAGTGGAGGCTGGGGCAATGGGCATATCCGGATCCATAGACAAGTGGCGGGATTGACGCCCAAACACCCACCCAAAACGTGCGAACTCTATATGTAGCACCCTGGCCGGAGCTCATCACATGAGCAATGACACCTGCAAGTCGCTCTGCGGAGACCATTTCTCGAATGCAACGAGGGACTCGTTGTTTGTCCCCGTTGCGTTCGGTGCGGCCTCGACGTGACGGCCCCCCTAGCAGAGTAGGCAGGATCAGCATATTGGACAGGGTGCTCTGGGCGGGTCGAACGGAGGTTTTGAGTCACATCAGCGGTGTTCAGGACCCTCCTAACAGCTGCAAGACATCAATTCAGGGCAGATATGGCCCCTAAAGCGGTCTTTGATGACCAGGGGTACTGGAGGTCATGGCGGTTCGGCGACGGAGAGCAGTGGTTGAGGTCTCAAGAATGAGGGGTCCTATGAAGCAGGGTTAGTTACGCTTGGGCGTTGGAGATGAAATGAGCATGAAGTTGAGCGGGAGTCCCCGACTGTCAGTGTCTAGTCCACTCGTATCGACTGCCCTGGCGTGCCTGGATTAAATTCATGGGAGAACGCAAAAGTTCCTGCCGTGCAATACGCAGTAGGATCCATAGGGTTTGAGGAGATTTGCTCGCTGGGCAGGGATGAGAATTGGCTTGCCTGGATTCGCAGACTGTGGGACTATCAGAGCATTCAATTGATGCCTGGTGATGGGCTGAGGCAGAGCAGACGGTGCCAGTAGATTACTGAGCGGTCGGTGCAGCTTGGACGGAATTGATCCAAGAGAGCAAGGTGCCATTTGTGCATCATGCTGAGATGCATCTTATATATAGCCTCCCCAACTCGGAGATTTCCAGGGGCATTGCATCGCTCTAATACTAATGTCTATATACGTACAGATACTCTCCTCCCATCACATGGAAAAGAGTGTTCGGCCTCACCGCCAGCCAGACCCTCTTCCTTACCGCCTGAGCGTCGACTGGAAGGGCACGCGGCAGTCGAATTGCTCATTTTCCAAGTTCGATACGTCATCTCCCTCACCGACTACCACCGACTGCGTTGCTGGCGGAATGCCGATCTCCATGCTTCAGCAATTGCTGCGCCATGCCAAGGGTTGAACATCAACCGCAATAGAAAGGTGCTCATGAATGGGCAGAAGTATAGTTGTACACACGAAACCGTTTATCCGTACATATGCAGATACGGATACTTGGTATCAGTAACCTTCGGTTGTCGTTGTGGAGCAATGAGACAACAATGTAAGAGCCCCTAGCATTCCCGTTTGTCAATTGAACCGTTTCCTCGCTGCTGCCAGCATCGCCGGATGAGCCACCGTGCGCTTGTCAGAATTCTAAATCCTCCCGGGCACTGATCCTTGTTTGGAGGCAATGATTGACACCCGCCCTGGGCTGGACGGACTAATTAAGTTATGAAGCCAACAAAGTACAGCTACATAGCACCTGAGGGCACGTGTTGTTGTCCGTTTATGGACGTTGTGAATACCTAGGTATGTTTGCATAACAAAGTCAACATAGTGACCGAGCTATGGTGACATGTGTGGTGACGGCCTCGTGCCCGCTGTCATTGGTACTAAGGCCTGCCCGGCTCAAATTACGGTGGGATGGCCGGGCTGCATCGGACACTTACCTACACTGCTGCAGAACTATCTTCGTCGATACGCGGCGCAGTGCGGGCTTTCAGGCATGGACACGACATAGGGGTTGGGTGACGGAAAATGGGAACTGTTGTCGTCTCTCTGAGGGCCCGTAACTCGCAGAGCCGCCGTCAGGCTACACATTGGAGGGTCATTTTTGGGAGGGTGTGAAGAGCTGGCTTCGTGACTCCTGGGATTGGTGTAGCACAGATTTAGATTCAGCGGGCGTGAATGAGTATGGCTAGCAGCCCCCAAATTAACATTCACCCGGATCAACAGCATTACACCCTACCTGGTCTGGCTCGTCCAACATTTGGATGGTTTGGAGCAGCCGGGACTTAGAAGTTTGAGGGACGACTCGGTGAGCAAGCTTTGCCTGCGGAAACCCTCCACGGTCCCCTGCTGCCCCTCAACAATAATCCTTCGACAAGTCCTTCAGACCGATACACTGCTGGTGTCAACCTAGGCTTCACGGAGTCGCGGTCGTTAAGTTCCTCTAAAGAAGGTCGCAGATCTTACAAGTTAGACCAACCCCTAAGAAGCCGGAGTCCGGGGACAAGTTGAGGATCAAATTTTCTATTCCGTCACCAGCACCAAGGTATCCCATCCTGTCGCATCTGTCGGCAACCAGGGTACTGTCGCCCCCAATAGAAATGGGGCTTCCGATGCGTTTTGAATGCCAATTTTCCACTAAACGTTTTGTCTGCAACACTGCGCGACGGGAGGGTTCGGGATGTGGCTGTCGCTGGCGGCATGCGACCTATCTCGCTCATCACTCTGGGATTCGAAATAGTATCCGCAGGTCGGATAATTAACACCGCATTGCCCCTGACAATTCGGCAACGGTGGAGACCTGGGGTTCGGAGGCAACAGACCGTTGAGGAAGCTCGGCACGACGACAATATGACGAAGGGCCGATCAGTCAGCTCGGGACCGCCTTTCTCCAGTCAGAACGTCTGCGGGGGTTTGTAGTTTTGGAGATTTTGATAGAGCCTTGCCATCTAATAAGCGGTCTATAAAGATTGGCCATAGAGATCCCGTCTCGAGTCGGAGGCAACCTTGAACCGAACTACATCTCAAATACACAGTGACACAGATGCTTCAACGGCCCCGCACCGGTCAATCAAACGAGCGCTCGGGAGGAGGGGAGGGCGAGGGGGGAACGAAGCCCAGGGACGTCGATGAGTGAGTGTCCAGCCCAGAAAGCTTGCCCGTCGCTTGCTTTTCGGGGGTGGCTTGCTGGTTTGCATTTTGGCCTTGATGGCGCAGTCAAAGTCAATCAGGTGACGGGCAACCTCGAGAGTCGTTTCAATGGGGAGGATCCCGCGCAAACCACCAAATGCAGAGCCCCGGGACCAGACGCGCCGAAACCAGTCGAGTTGTCCAAGGCCTATCTTACACTGTCTCCCTTGGCAGATTGTTATCATAGCCCGGCCAGAGGAAAGATGCTGTCACGACATGCCACTCAAACGATATCGCCAGTATCATGATATCAACCTAGCACCGCCTAACCTTATCACAATTATCTTCAGCAACTAGGCGCATCCGGAGACGCTCTGTTCGTCTAGGGGTGTTTTACCATTCGAGAAGGTGACAAGAAGGCCGGTGACGGCAGATTAGCAGCCATCAGATCTACTAGGGGATATGATATGTGACAAGCGCAACGGGCAAGCAGACCACCACGGGGGAGGCAGAGAGTGAGGGGGGCAGATGCGACGTTCTCGGCCTGTGAGGGAACCCCCTCGAGCCCTTCACCGGTTGCACACCTGGTCAAGTTGCCATAGCCTATGACTGAGAGACAAACTCTTTCCCACGGCCCAAGCATCCAAGTGCAGGATGACATCCCTGAAGTTTGCGAACAGAATCACTCATCATCCCGGGTTACTCAATTGCTTGCGTGCTTGCGAGCTTGCGACATGGAAGCTTTTCCTCTCTTGAGCCTGTATCCGTACCGGTCAATTTCTGACGAGAAGATGACAGTCTCACCCCGGCATCTCATCTTACTTTAACTGCCGCTGCGACGTGAATGTGGGATGGGATGCAACGGCCCTGTCCGTCCAATGGCCATAGCTCCATGCAGCAGCGCATTCTATAGGGAAAGGGTGTGAAGAGCTTCAGCACTGAAAGTCAGTTTCCTCACCTCAACCGGCAGAAACCGAGCGTCGAGTACAGGTACACAGCAGACCCAGGTATCTTGAGTTACACCCTGCCCTTTTCTCAACCTCACGATATCCGGTAGTGCTTGACTGCTACGTGAGCTCGTGTGCTTGAAAATACACGAAAGGTGTATTCTACCCAAGCTTTCGACGAGGGCGTCACTAGCTTTTGCCCTACATACGTACAATGCACTGATGATCCGGCGCGAATGCAATCAAAATGCGGGCTGAAGAACAGACCAACCGCTGCGAAAGTACTTTGTACAGCCCTACAATGATGGCAAACATCCGTTTTTAGCCCACCCTTCTCATTCGCTCCGGGGCCGAAGATGCCTCATGACGACCGAGGTGCAGGATGAGAAAAGCCGCTTGCTTGCTGCGACGCGCAGCTTCTTTGACACCCGCATGCTGCTTGAAAACGGATTTATCCAGCGTAGCCGGCTTGGCGTCGAAGCCGTTTGCAATTGACGCAGAGAGTGACAGACTGAGAGGGGAGGGAAAAAGATCCACAGCTTCACCGGTCACCCAAGTTGAGCAGGTTGCGATATTGATCGCCCGGCGTGGCAGTTGGAACTTGGGCTAGGCTAGATTGCCATGTTTTTGAGTGCCATGTAGTTCGCTTCTGGGGGCTACGCCGGACGGCGCCGTTGGGCCAACCGAGGAAGCCTTTCATTGCCAATGTCGCTTGGCTGAACGCCGTTAGAGTGGGCAGAACCGGCGCGTGCTGCCAGAAGTCCACAACCCATCTAGACGAAGCAGGCCGAGTATTTCGTACAGTTCGGAGAGGCCAGACCGGACATCGGGGCGAAGCGTGTGTTAGTGTTGATGCCCCATCGTCATGAGCGGCATAGGGATTGTCTCACTCATCAGGCTCACTCTTACACTCACTGTCGTACTCCGTACTCACAATGAATGAGTGAGTGAGCATGTTGTACAACAAACAGATTCTCACACCCCCCAAGAACCTCTCACTTATCCCACGCAGGCACGCGCGCGCCTCATATGTACATCGAATAGGCGATGTGCCATGCCAACGCCCAAGACATCTTCGAACGCCCTGCGCTGAACGCCCCGCGGCTCATCAGACAAGTTGATGAGAGCACCAGAGACAGCATACAGTGTTGCACAGCGCCCAAAAGGTACGCCAATGAGCGACTCGCCGTGCCTGATGTGGTCTCGCATCTGCGTCGCAACGCATCATCAAATGTATCCGTACGGAGTACATGTAGCCAGATATATCATCATCGTATCTGTAATGCTCCTGCTCTCCTGTACAGTTGCGCTGGACAGTGCCCGGCCATATTTTTTCTCTCATCAGCTGAGCTGCGATGCGATGCACGGCATCCCAACTGCCAGCAACCGCGTCTCCCTAGACAATTCCCCGGGCCCAATCCCTTATAGAGGGAGCCCTTTGTTACATGGTCCTGTGTGCCCAACTTGACTTCTGGCACGGAACCGCCACTGCTCACTTACACCCCACGACGCAAACCTCACCTCACACCGTTCATCAATATCGTTGATGGGGGCAGCGCGCGGGAGGCACGTCGAAACACCTTCAGATGACCATCTGGTATCCCCGTCGTGCATACTAACTGCCACTAGCCCCCACCCCCCTCCCTCTCCCTTCTTGATCCCACGTTCTCCCACGTTGGGCAGGTCGAGCTGTTCCAAGTTCCGAACCACCAAAGACAACAACCACCACGCTACTGCTCGAGAACAGCGTGGTGGCTTGCGGGACCCAGAATGCCCAAATACGTGCCACGAGCCAACCTGGATATGGCATCTATAGACGGGGGGGGGGCTTCTTTCCTCTGACGGTATCGACAAATCTGAAGGGTCCCACGAAACGTTCTCTCACCCCACGCCAGCACCCCGTCTGATGCCGTGGGAGTCGCTCCTTCGTCCGGGACCCTTGTACTCCCACTCGTTCTTCACCTGATCCCTCACCGAGGACTTCTAGTCTGTAATATCGGTCAGTCCAGAGTGGGCGGCATCGGGCCGCAAAGGGATGGCTGACGGCCGTCAGCGTCCAGTCTCGTTTGCGTATGTGTGTGCCATTGATTCCATCACCACCCGCTCAAACGAAAACTACCCGCCGCTTGTTTCTTAGCAACCCAAAACTCGACCGTTTGCTCCTGGTCATGGTCAAACGCAGGCCCGTACAGCGCAGCAAAACCCAAGATTGCCCGACATCACCACCTCGCCATCCTGATCCCCTATCACTTGTCTCATTTCCAACTGGTCCCATTGTCCATAAGCTCGGTCTGCCTTTCTCACGCTTTGCCCGGCATATCTCGTAACCCGACGACCAACGAGAGGACGGCGGGCCACTGCACTGCAGCTTCACCGGTCAATCCTCCTCGCGCGTACGTGCCTCCCTCCCCTTGCACACTCATGTAGACGGACAGACACACACTCACACACCCTCTCTCCGGTCCCTCCCACACGTTACAGCACTAAGCACATCAAGCACAAACCCTGTGACGTGTGTGTACTTCGTAGTGGTCGAACTAACAGAAATACCCCCTCTCCACTCTTCCCTGTCAAGCCCTGTCGTGTCTCGCCTTGCAATGAATGGCCCATGAAGTACCTATTAGTCCAGTCCCACTCCTCAATCATCCCCTCATAATTAGCACGCTTTTTTTTTTTTTCACGAACCATGTAACCCTCGTTGCGTGTACCCAAAGCGGTAAAATTTGCCCAGTCCTAGTTGCTCGGTATATGGTGACCCTGTTTTGCTCTAGTTTCTCTGTAGTCGGGATGTGTTTGGCCTTGTTATCTCATCTTCAAGGATGGATTGAAGAGGTAGGGCCATGGAGAGTCACTCTGGGTGGGATGGATGAAATGTGTCGGGTGTGCATGTATGTCTGTGTACTTTCGAGGGATGTGAGCAAGGCGGTTGGACGCTGCAGAATCATGAATGTCGGCTACTGCACGCACTTTGAACCTTTTCGCGCGCTTTCTTCCGTAATGTGTAATCCTCAGAAAGTATCACGGAAACCCACATTCTGCGAGGTATGAAGCCGCGACTTTGGGAAGCATTCGGGGCACATGAACACGAGAGACACGCGCTTTGGCTCAAAAGGGCAAGGGTTTGATGAGGGAACACGCAATAAGTGTCAAGTAGGTATCTAAGTTTTCTCAATTCTCTTTTATGGTATCAGCGCTACTGCGCCGTTTGTGCTGTGCTGCCAAAGTGCATCCATCTGTTTGGTGAAAAGAGTGTGACGAGGTGTTGGTGGGTATTTCAAGTACAGGAAAAATTGTTTGCGTTCTTTTCCCTCTACACCACCATCCAAGATGGTGATGGGTGAAGGGAAATCCAAGACGCCTATAAGCAAAATAACTAAGAAAGATGTGTATGTAAACTCCCGTTGACCAGTTCGCCGTGTGGTGGCAGGACAAACGAAAAAAAACATGCTTGTGCCTTGTCCCAAACTCCAATTTGCATTCCCTGCTTTCCCAACAGTATACCCCGGAAACAAGAACAAAATGAAACCATCGCCGGATGAAAATGCTGCCAAGTGTCTGCGGTTGAAGACCGTTGAGTGCTTTTATCGCAACGCGTGTGAGTGAGTGGTGATAAAAGTCGGGAGCCGAGACAGACGCGGGCCACGTCGGCTAATGCACGACCTGACCGACCATGAACAGACAGAGGAAAGACTGAGCGAGAGGTGACGTGATGGAGGGTACACCGTCTCGTCTCGTCTTGCTCGACCGGGGAGAGCCGCCGCTAGCCCGGTGCCGTGGTCGGCGTAGTCGCCCGAATAAAGTTGAATAGTCCGCGACGCCGTCTCTTCTTTTGCTTCCCACCCTTGCGGACCCTCCCGTCCAAAATACCCATGGTTCCGCACTCTCTCCGCGTGGTGTTGATCCTCGTGCCCACACAAAGTTGTTGCTGGTTTTGTGTGGGCGGTTTGCTCTGTTGTCTTCCCGCCTCTTGGTGTATTTCCTCCTACTCGTTTCTTGCCAGCCAAAAAAGGAAATTTGTTGAAATGCTCGTTTCCGTATCAGCGCCGTAACTTCCTGTCCGCAATGCTCAAATTCGCAAACGCCATGAGTAAGATGCAGGTTTGCACCTTGCTGTGTTTTCTTTTTTTCCCGAAGAATCTCGCTCTCCCTTCCCCTCTGCCAATGATGAAATATTCCTCCTCTTACAACGTGAGCCATGCGAATGTGTTGCTTGGCTCATCATGTGGGATCAGCGTGGTCGAGACCCCTCATCCGTTCCCCTCTTACTGCGTGGGTGCAGCCATCATGCCTCCACCGGTCCTGTCGTAGCCATGCAGACGGGAGTTCAAATTGGAGACGGCGTCGGTTCTTGGTAAAGGGCCCGTCCATATGGACAAAATGTCGTGGAAGGCTGCCTTAGCGCGATGCAGCATTCTCGATGTACCCAAGCCAAGGTTGGTGATGGCTCCGGAGCCAAATACGCCGGTACCGTGTAATTGTCGTCTCGAAGCAGGCCGCCGTTCCCTTTGATTAGGGCCATGCTTGGCGTGTTGGTTGTGTGGCTGTGTGACGCGACGCTTCCTCGAAGTTGCTAAGTATCAAAAGTCGTTGAAGAAGAAGAATTTGGTATAGGCGAAAATTTTGACGAAATTGTCTTGCACAATCCTCTTCTCATCCCATCTCTTTAGTGGTGAGCTTTGTCCCGAGAGGCCGGAGGGACAGAGCCAAAGCTGTCGAGAGAGGATGTGAAATGTGATGGAAGACAGGATGTGCCGCAGACCGGATCTGCACCCCGGGCGTGGGCCATTCTAGATCGGGATGTTGTCTAAGAAGTGGTAGATAAAGGGAATGATGGCAAGCCTCGTCGATTTCGTTCGACGATGACCTTATAATCCGACGGGCGTGTTGTTACGTCTAATCATGCTCTCCCACACGATCGGTGCTGAAGGCTTGCATTCGCCTGCGATGAGACACATGTTAGTCCCAAAGTCTAGAATAGGGGTGCAAAAGAAGAAAGGCCATAGGAAAAAGAAAGAGTATAACCGCATCAACCGCCAAACGGGAGAAGGGTGCTGCTACTGTGTCTGTGATCGATGCTCTGGCTTGCTCTGCTCTCTCTAGCCTGGGGAGGGGGGACAGGGACATTGGGCGTGCCAAATTTCCTGCCCATACACCCCCATGCCAGTGCCAATTCCAGGTGCTTAGAGTTTGAGTGGAGTTGGAGGCCACATTGCCATTTCCGTGGCAGCAGACAGACACAGCACAAGCACGCACCCCTGCCCGGCGTGGCAGAATGGGGATGATCTACTCCAAGAGCAAAAGAAAGATTGAGGGATAAGGATGGAGGACGGGGTTGCCGTGGAGAGAAGGAAACATACCACAAACTTCATCGCCCCTGTGTTTGACGCACGTCAGTATTTTGTTCAAGAGCAGAGTCAGAGAGGAAGGGCGAGTAAAAATGACTCGGTTTGATCCGTTGAGGTTTTCAAGAAGGGGCGCATGGTGAAGGGAAAAAGAAACCATTGTAGACGTACCTGTACTCGAAATGTGTCACACACGGAGGGCAGCGTCGTTGTGTGCGAGTGTAGACGGGGCACCACCGCGAGACGATCCAGCGGACGTGGCCGCAGTGAAATTCTCTCTGTGAAGCAGATAATTGTCAGTTTACAGTCCTGACGTGTACACCAAGTATCCTTCATCGTCGAGATCGTGCGTGTTTGGCGGACAGGACGTACTTGAGTGTAGTTGCACATTGCTGCTTCAGGGTGTTGTGTGGTTTTCTCGTGGGACGTGGCGACCGGAGGTAGATCCGAAGGCAACAGAAAAAAAAAACCAGGCGGCGGGTATTAGTCGAAATGGGTTGAGTACGGTGTAGGCGGGGATCCGAGTCGTACAGTCAGGGGGGGTGTGGTGGCCAGAAGATACGGGCTTTGGTGAGTGAGAAGATTCAAACGTTGGTAGACGAGAAACAAGAATGGTAGAAAAGATCGATATAGAGCTGGAAACACGGTGAAGCCGTCGTCAAAGTCGAAAAAGTGTGGGCACGTTTGTGTTTAAAGGTCGGGGCGAAGTGTTGTCGAGAGTGTAGATTCGGATGGGAACAAGGCGAGAGGTGCGAAGAGTGTGTGGGAGAGGTGCTTGGAGGTTCTGTATATAGATGGCCTGGTGCTTGGAGACTTTGATGGATGGAGTCAGTGGGCGACGCTCAGGGAACCCACGCAAAGAATGTACCTGGGATTGTCATGCAAGGTCAGGGCCATACAACAAGTACCGCTACGTCGGAGGTATATGTAAGGTAAACGGGACGAAGGGGGGGTGTGAGTGGGAGGGCCAGACCAGACTGATAGACAGACTGAGAGAGAGAGCGAGAGAAAGAGAAGGAAGAAGGCGAGCCGGTAGCAGAGACAAGTGAGAGTAGCAAGAGAGACACAAACAAGCCTGAGTCCTGAGCCAGCCAGAGCCAGAGCAGAGCCAGAGCCGGCGGGGGCCCAAAAGGCAGACCAGACTGGCGGGCAGATGAGCAAGCATCATGGTCCCAGAATTGTGATTGCCCCCTTGGCCCTTGCTCTCTGGCTTGCCGGGCTCCAGAAAGGTTAGAAAGCCAGGCCGTGGGCCACTAGACCTTGGTGCCCTGGACTCTGGAGTGAGAGAAGGACGGATGGATCGGGCAGAAAGAGACAAATGATGCGGTATGCCGAATAGAAAGGGTGCGCGCAGTGTTCAGGCTCTTGCTCGTTCCCTCTTGGAGCACAATCCCTTCAGGCTCAGGCCCGGTCCGAGGGGGTGTGCGTAGGTTTTTGGGCCGTCCTGGGGGGAGTGTGTGCCCGAGTCCCCCTCCTCCACGTAGGAATAGTGTATCCGTACGGATACATAGACGCACACTTCAAGTCGCACACGGTGCCGCTGCACAGCACTGGCTATGTTGTCTGTCTGTCCGTCGGTCACGTATGGGGTAAACTGGACCAAAGCCCAAGCAAGGAACCTATACTCCGTACAGCAAGGCACACATCCGGTCCAACTTCCCACCATCCATCCCAGGCACGCATACCAGACCGGCGGCGCGCTGTGTCTACGTAACTATCCCTGTTTCCTCGCCTGTTGTGGCTCCGTTTTCTCATTGGTTGCTCGGTCTGGTCTCGTTTGGTTTGGTGGCTAAACGTCTGCCCCTCCGCGCCGGTGTGCGTGCTGCTTTGCAACCTTTGCCTGTTATGTCAGCAGTGTAGCCATTGATGCTCTCAGCGTCATGGTTTGTGGAAAGAGGAAAAGGGGACGGAAACCCACTAGATGGACCCGTACTATTCTACTGGTGGCCGGCCGGGCACCACGGGTAGCCAAACAAACCATAACGACGCTTGAGTTGGCTTTCCACGCCAGACGTACATGGCTTGCCGTAGGGCAGTTTTGCCCAAAATTGGCTCTCGAGACTAGTCGGCGCCAGGGGTGATCCTTCTTCACGGACGGCAAGACTCCAGAGATAGCGAAACAGGCACCGACTCGTCCCCTAAAACTGCGTTGCCCTTCTCGAGCTTCTATTCGACGAAGGCGCAAAATTTGAGGAGGAGGGCCACGCAAAAAGGGGGACGGACTGGGGGGGGTGATGGACGACCAGCGAGCCAGTAGACAGCTGTTAAGCTGCTGGACGTGTGGACTTTGGACGGTTGGTGATCCTTGGCCACCACCGAGGAGCTGACGCTAAACACCAAGCCATACCAGAAGGAGGAGGGCAGAGAAAAGAGAGTTTTCTCACAGTGAGTAAACTAACCATGTTAGGAGATTTGGTCGGGGATGTTGACGCTAGTGCGTCTTCACAGCTCTTCTCTCTCGACAAGGTGCCTTGCTTGCGATGAACTTGCGCTGGCTGTTGCCTCTGCTCTCTTTCTCTGTCGTCTCCTTGCCAGGACTCACTTCGGTCTTCACCAATTACGAATCAGAAATGGGTCCCCAGACACATGACTTTCAAGCTCCCGGCAGGGATTATGGAAGCAAGAGAACGTGCGCTTCTCGCTGCGTGCCATCAAGGCCCAGAAACCGCTGGGACGTACGCCGGGGACCCTCCCCCTTGTGCAAGGGGTTTGGGTGTGAGTCGTCAGTGACCGCGGTAGAGCTGAGAAGCGAAACGATCAAGGGGTGCAGAGGAGGGCAAGAACGCGTTAACTCAGAGACGAAAGCCAGATTGAAATGCAACTGAGGGGGGCAACAATGCAGCTTCCCTGATCATATTCTCGTCACCTGGGCTGGGAACTCAGGACTTCGATGCTACAGAGTCGGACAGGGGCAATGACGAGAGCCAAAGGTTGAGGGTACGGTACTCTTGTGCATGGCCCTAGAGCTCGGTACATTGTACATTGGCAAGTTAACACCCCGCACTCGCGTCGAGAACGTGAAGAAGGAGGCAGTTCTGACAGAGAAAGAGAAAGCGATGCAGCACAGCAAGGGTAGATGCAAACGCAATGCTGGCGCAGCCGCGCGGTGCCGACGCAGGGCCTGGCTTCACGCACGAACGGTACTGACAAGAACGGTTAGACAGTCGACGTCGAGCACAACGGGCAGTTCAGACAAATCCCCTGGCGGAATCCGTACGAAAAGATGCCGGAGGTTATGGTAATGCGCTACTCGAGTCAAGGCAGCGTTTCCCACGTCTAATGAGACTCTGGAGTCTAGAGTCGTCTCTCGAACGGGCATCATGGCTGCAGTGTGACAACTGAACGCTTTCCGAGAACGACTTAGTGATTCTCGGGCAGATATTCAAGCTAGTTGCCTCACTTTCACCACGATGAGATGAGAGAACGAGAAGTTCATTTAAAGATTTCAGTTGCAAAACAGACGTTGTTCTTGGCTTGGCTGAGGTCAAAAATATTCCGCAAAATGTAACAAGAAGCACGGGAACTCGAAAGTATCTGCCCAGACCACCCAGTCTCTGGGATCTCGCACCGTCGCATGCAATGGGCATATACCGGGGTTCAAACTTATGCATGTCTTTGTGCGTCCGCCGTTCTGGCAGGGCCCGGGGGCATAAGTACATCCCCATCCATATTATGCCTCGGCAGTCCACAGATCTTCTGTCGCCCACATCTTTCTCGCGAGTCTCACCCAGGCGTGGGCGTGCCAGACCATGTCATTGTCAGGTCACTTTTTCTCATGTATTCATATGTATTCATTTATTTCATTTCTTCAACCAGATCGATGGGCGAGACTTTGGGACACAGCCCATCGGTCTGCACGTGGCCCAGCCCCTGTCTTGCGGAGATCATTCAGACCCCGTTTGTCAAGGCGAAACGACGGAGAGGCGCATCCCAATGCCATTTCGTACCATATTACTCGCCCTGGCCAGCGCTGAGGGCAGAATCCGTTCATAACTGCGTGAGCCTTGTCTTTTTCCAAGTTCCAGCTGTCCCTCAAGGTGCCGACGCTAGTGAGAACCTGGATCTTCCGATGCAGAGGCCATCATCTCCGTCGAGATTGATAAGGTCACCGCTTCTTTTATGTGACTGGACTGACGACATCTTCCTAGTAAATGCGTACTGTGCTCTTTGATTTGATATCGTATCCATCTTTTCGTTTCCGTTTACCCCATCCAGGGTCTTTCGAGAGCTAAGAGTCACAACTCGCAACTTGCAGTTGCTCGCGTGGCGTCCTTCACCCACTTCCTGTTCGTATCAAACTTCCAGCTGATGAGGTGGCTCTATGTGGCTCTCCACTGCGGACATGGGACTTGCCGCTAGGCGTTCCTAGACAGGTTGACTATTGTCCCATTCTTGGGGACGTTTCAAATTCGCCTTGTCTTTTGTGTGTGCTCGTCTTCGCTCCGCAGCCTCCGCAAGCTGCATTTTTCCCGACGGGGCTATCCTTTCACCACGTGGAAAATGTCATTCGATTCAACGGGGAAGCCACTGGTCGACGGTTCTCCCCTTTCACTATTCATCAACCGGCGCAGCCCTTTCCGTCAGCCCCCGGCCGCTTGCCGCCCGGCCCCGTCACCGGTAGTATCGCGGATGGATGGTAGCGCCTCGTGCTTAGCAAGGAGCTTGCCCGTTCGAACCCGTTGAGAACATGATGGATGTTCTCTTTCGCCAGACCGATGAAAGATAGTTTACCGTTTGACCCACCACGGTCAAGAAGTTGAATGAAGCCAAAAGGGGGGGATGGCCAGTCGTTCCCTTTACATCCCACCGCAACCTGATCATCGCTTGGCCCTTTGGGTTCGTCTCGAGAGGTCTCGACTCTCGATAGATTTGCGGGAGAGTGATGCGCTTGACTCAACATACCTGTCACCGGTTGATGCCGGCTGTGCTGAAGGTATCCGTACGGAGTACGAAGTACGGGATAACAATTTGGGAGGGGGGAAGCATTATTAGGTGACTATTTGGCCCATGTTCCATCCTGGACCGGATCGACCGTGCGCTGCCTGCCAAATGCTGCAATGGAAATCTCCAACGATCCAAACCCCCCTTCCCCTTCACTCTTCCCCCCTCGCAAAGCTTGAGCCTGCAGCAAGTTAACCTCATTATGCTGTTTGACTTTTTCGGCGATCTCGCCGATGCTGCAAAGAAGACGACAGCACGAAGTCAGTTTGCCTGCCCCAAGAGCAGAAAGAGCCATGTCCGCCAAGTGTCGGGAAGAGCTCGATGCTGTCGTCCGGGTCGGGGC